CTGAGCCAGCATGGCTCAGATTGGAAACCTCTCCCTTTCCCCTCAGCATGGCTGGCTCAGGAATTCTGGGAGTTGAAGTCCACGAGTCATAAAAGAGCCAAGGTTGCCTACCCCTGCCCTATACCATTTCAGACAAGTGACTGTCCAGTCTCTTCTTAAAAACTTCCAGTGTTGGAGCATTCACCGCTTCTGGAGGCAGTTTGTTCCACTGGTTAATTGTTCTAACTGTCAGGAAGTTTCTCCTTAGTTCCAGGTTGCTTCCCTCCTTGATTAGCAACGTTTTCTTTGAAAACCTTTCGCTTCTCATCCAATGCGTGTCTTTAATTCTAACTTGTTCTGAACTTTTGAAGAAGCTTCTTGGGTGAGAAGTGAAATGATTTCAAAGAGAGAAAAAAAAAGTCAAGAAAGTCCAGTTGCCTTTTAGAACAAGCTCCTTTGGGACATCCACTTCAAAAAGCTTAAGTTTGGGGTTGTAATTTCCTGGTGTGCAATCTTACCGGCCCTCCCACCCAAACTACACACCTCTGCCTTAGAGGCTTTTCACAGGAACGGGCCCATCCCTGGGGAGACAGACGGAACATCAAAATGGAGACAGCAAAAGGGCTGGTTGAGCTTTTCAAGTAGTTTTGAACGAACTGAAGCAAATGTAAATCTCGCAGGTTTACACGCACGCAACTCACCTTTGCGGTGGCTAATCTTGTCTCTTTATCAGACCGAGGCTTTTTATGGAGGTGTTCGATGTCTCTAAGTGAGAGCAGCTCCCCCCTGCAAAAGATCACAGAGATACTAACAGCCTGAGGCCAGAAAGGAAAAAAAAATATTCCTTCAAGAGGAGGAGAAACTTGAGAGCCACTTTGGGTTGTCGTTAGGTCACCAGGCTAGAACCCAACCGATCCTGAGTTCTAGTCCTTCCTTAGGCATGAAAGCGGCTGGATGACTTTACGCCAGTCTTTCTCTCTCTCTCTCTCTCTCTCTCTCTCTCTCTCTCTCTCTCTCTCTCTCTCTCTCTCTCTCAGCCTAACCTACCTCACAGGGCTGTTGAGACTAGAACTCACAGTCTCCCAGCGACTGGCCCACAGTCACCCAGCCAGCTTCCATGCCTAAGGCGGGACTAGAACTCACAGTCTCCCAACGACTGGCCCAAAGTCCCCCAGCTGGCTTTCATGCCTAAGGTGAGACTAGAACTCACAATCTCCCAGTGACTGGCCCAAAGTCACCCAGCCGGCTTTCATGCCTAAGGTGAGACTAGAACTCACAGTCTCCTAGCGACTGGCCCAAAGTCACCCAGCTGGCTTTCATGCCTAAGGCGGGACTAGAACTCACAGTCTCACAGAGACTGGCCCAAAGTCACCCAGCTGGCTTTCATGCCTAAGGCGAGACTAGAACTCATAGTCTCCTAAAGACTGGCCCACAGTCACCCAGCTGGCTTTCATGCCTGAGGTGAGACTAGAACTCACAGTCTCCTAGAGACTGGCCCACAGTCACCCAGCCAGCTTTCATGCCCGAGGCGAGACTAGAACTCACAGTCTCCTAGCGACTGGCCCAAAGTCACCCAGCCGGCTTTCCCGCCTAAGGTTTTAGAGCAAGAAGAATGAGAGGTGGCCCATTTATTTAGAGGTCCTTCAAAAACCTGGCTATGCCCTTCCACGTCGGATTTTGCTGCCTCCCGCAACTCTCAACGCAAGGACCCCTTGCCTGCATCAGTACTTTTTTTTTACCTCGATTCTTCTTCACTGTCTATTTCTACGTTCTTCCTCTTGGCTGCCTTGCCAGGCGCAGATTTGAGTTCCTTGCTCAGCTGAGCCAGCCGGATTTTCTGGAAGTCTTCTTGAGTGAGAAGGCGGCCGCTGCTGACGGCCGTGGCCTTGGCCTTCCGCTCCTCCGCAGGCAGGCTTTCGATCTTCTCCGCCTTGGAAGGGAAGAGGCAAAACAGGTGAGGCCCGGAGGACGGACGAAACCCACCCCCACCCTCTTCTTCACGAAGAACGACGGGCAGTCCTCGGCTTACGACTGCCAACGGAGCCCGACGTTTACGTCGCTAAGCGAGACGGCTGTTTTCAGCCCATTTTATGAGCTTTCTGGCCACGTTTGTGAAAGCGAATCACGGCACCCGGTTTTAAGCTCGTAACCTGGTCGTTAAGTGAATCTGGCTTCTGACTTTGCTTGTCAGAAAGGTCGCGAAAGGGGATCAGGTGACACCCCCCCGGGGTTACTGCAACCGTCACGAATGTGAGTCAGTTGCCGGGCTTCTGAATTCTGATCACGTGACCGTGGGGATGCTGCAACGGTCGTAAGCATGAAAAACGGTCATAAGTCACTTTTTTTAGGGCCATGGGGTCACTAAAGGAGTGGTGGTTAAGTTGAGGACTACTTTGTACACTGAGAAAGCTTCACAGCAGTGAGTCACGTTTACAAACAATGAGGGATTATTTGCAAACAAGCATGACCATCATCCTAGATCAGGGCTTTTCAACCAGTGGTACGGGTACCACCTGTGGTACATTGGCACCTGGCAGGTGGTACGCGACCATCCTAGAAAAGTGGTAGCGGGGGAGGGGAATGAGCTGAACCGGTGGCAGCACCGCACAAGCCTGAGCGAAGACAGCTGGAGCTGCAGGGCTGTCAGGGCTCAGCAGAAGCGCCAGGATCAGTGCTGCTTTCCAGCTGATTAGCACTTTTTCGCGGCTGTCAGCGCTCAGTGGAAGCACCAGGATCAGCGCCAGGCTCCAGCTGGATCTCGGCGCTGATCCTGGCGCTTCTGCTGAGCCCAGAAGAAGCGCCGATCAACTGGAATGTTGCAGCATCTCCAGGCTCTTGTGATTTACATTCAGATGCTTGGCAACTGATTCATATTTATGACGGTCACAGTGTCCCAGGGTCATGTGAAGTGACCAAAACCTGCTGCAACCACCCAGCAGACGGGGGGAATAAAAACCAAATACCCCCCTACCCCACCCCCGCTTCCAATCCTCAACAGAAATGCTCACAATGAAAACCTCGGACAGGAGGAAGAGCGCGCCCGGATGGGCAGGCAGGTGCCTTGCTCGGCTGTGCTTGGGGGGGCACTTTTTTCAGTGCCATTGTAACTTTGAACAGTCACTAAGCGAACTGTTGTAAATCGAGGACTACCTGTACTTTATCACTTTTTTCCTTTTTGGGGGGGGGTCATCAAGTTTTTGACACCTTGCTAGGCGACTGGTGGTACTCGGATGTTGCCATATTCTAAAAGTGGCACAATGGGTGAAAAGGTGGAAAAGCCCTGTCCTAGAATGTGCCTGGCTGTCTCACCCTGCAAATTCAGGCCCAGCTCAATGAGCCAGGAACTTAGCAAAGCATAATTATAGTCATAGAGGAAAATGTTTGGCAAAAATGTAAGGGTAAAAGAACGCCCTACTATCGCTTGTTGCTCCTCATCCGAGGA